CCCCCCACAGTTGGTCAACCCCTCATAGCTAGTTGTACTAAACCCACCTTTTGTATTGCTATCCTAGTGATTAGGCCGCCAAAATGAATAGGGTTCTTGACATTGTTACTACAAGTATTGGCATGCCTACTCAAATGGGTAATGATGAATTTAGCAATGTTCAATTTTCCATACCCATACAAATAATTTCCTATGATAGCTAATTCCAATGTTTGGGCGTTATGGGGTTCATGGCGAGCTAGAAAATAAGTCCCGAAAAATCTTTGAAAGATATATGGGACGGGGTGGTGGAAAGGGAGAACACTAGCATGTTCAGAATTTGGGCAAGGTTTGCCCGTCAAAGCATAAAATATATCATCGTCCTTATATTCTTCATGCCATTGGGTGGTGGGTTCGGGATCAAGCTCAAGTAATCTTGCAAATTCGACAAAAGTTAAACTAATATTTCTTTTATTCAGGCGAAAATGCAAAATAGGGCCAATTATTAGATTGAACTACATTTAGAGAGGATAAAAATTCACATGTTAATTCTCTATATGTAGGGTAGTGCAAATCAACAAACTTCCGCATGCCAATATCATTCATAAAACGTCTAACATGCTCATATAAACCTAAAGATTGTAGGGTGTCTCAGTGTAACCACCAAGAAGGATGTACCTCCCATTCGTAGAGGTTTATGAGCCATTCCCGTTGTTGCGTAGTCGCGATTTGGATCGTCGGCCACTGGTCTAATTGTAAAGCTTGGTCAACCGGCGTCCTTGAGCCCGGTCCACGTCCACCACCTTGAGTTCTTGCCCTCTTGCCAAACATGTTGAATATGGGTCTACAATTTTTTGTTTCAAAACCAAACAAAATTAGTGTAGAAATAAAGAGAATGAAGAGAGAAAGAAAAATATGTAAAAAATTTTGAATTTGGATGAGAAATGGAGGTGAAATCTTAGAGAGAAGTTAGAGAAAATAAGGTTTTAGAGAGAGAAACAATGGAGGAAAGAGAAAATAAGGAAGAAAGAAAAGAGAAAGAAGAAGAAAGAAGAGGGGAAAATCGGGGAAAGAGAGGCGCACCCGGTCGGGCGGCCGCTCGCCCAGTTGGGCGAAAATTCGGACCCAGATTTGATTCCTGTCGCGTCCGGTCGGGCGATTTTGCCTCTTAATCGGTGTATTTCTCGCGCCCGGTCGGGCGATCCTTAGCTTCTCCAAATCTTACTCTCACGCCCGGTCGGGCGCACCTTAAGTACTATGAATCCGATTTTTATTCTTTTCTTCGAAATTTGGCTAACTCTTTTTCTCCAACCTGTACATAAAGCTCAAAAACACATTAAATTCCCTTATCTCCTCTCATAAAAGACGAAAACAAAAGGAAAAACTACTCTATAAATCAAGAAAATACGGGTTGCCTCCCGTAAAGCGCTGATTTATCTAAGTCCCGCACGACCTTCTTACCATATGCAAATCAGGATGAGATGGAATCGATTAGGTGAAATAATTCAACTGCACCTATCGTAGCCCCTTCATGGTATAACTTCAACCTTTGTCCATTCACCTTAAAAACACCACCATGCTCATCATGTAACTTAACAGAACCAAATTTGTTTGCCCTTTTCATAGTGAAAGGACCCAACCACCTTGACTTCAATTTTCCTGGGAAAAGTTTAAGTCTAGAATAGAACAACAAAACCTTGTCACCCTCTTTGAATTCTCTCGGAAGGATCATCTTGTCATGCCATTTCTTGGTCTTCTCCTTGTAGACACGTGCACTATCGTAGGCCATCAACCTAAACTCATCTAGTTGATTAAGTTGTAGAAGCCTCTTTTCTCCCGCTAAATTAGCATCTAAATTGAGCTCTTTAATTGCCCAATAGGCCTTATACTCTAATTCCACCGGGAGGTGACATGCTTTCTCATACACAAGCCTATAAGGGGAAGTACCAATGGGGGTCTTAAATGCGATTCTATATGCCCAAAGTGTGTCATCAAACTTATCACTCTAATCCTTCCTAAACTTTTCTACCACCTTCTCTAGAATATCATTAATCTCACGGTTAGAAACCTCAACTTGGCCACTAGTTTGGGGATGGTAAGCTAAACCCGTCCTATGGTAAACACCATACTTCTTGAGAAGGGTATCAAACTTCATGAAAGTGAGATCCTCCATCACTAATAACGGCTCGAGGGACACCAAATATAGGAAAAAATATTTTTTTGAAAAGCTTATGGACCACCTTGGCATCATTGGTAGGTGTGGCAATGACTTTAACCCACTTGGATACATAATCAACGGCGACAAGGATATAGCGATTCCCTTTTGAAGAGGAAAAAGGTCTCATATAATAAACACCCCAAACATCAGAAATTTCAACTTCTAAAATACCAGTTTGAGGCATCTCATGCCCTCGCGAGATGTTCCCAGTCCTCTGGCAAGTCACAAGCTTGAACAAAAGAGTGAGCGTCCTTGAACATGGTATACCAAAAGAAACCCGACTCATTGATTTTTGTTATTGTCTTAGTGGGACCATGATGTCCACCATAGGGTGAGTTATGGCATCTTGTAAGTACATCGTGAACTTCCCATTTGGGAACACACCTGCGAAATAGTCCATCTGCACACTCACGAAACAAAAAAGGATCATCCCAAAAATAATGTTTAACATCATAAAGGAATCTCTTTTTCTATTGGTAGGACAAATCAGGAGGTAGAGTACCGCCTACCAAATAATTAGCATAGTCGGCATACCAAGGGTGTTGCACTACAACTGCAAACAAGTGGTCATCAGGGAAAGAATCATCTATAGGAAGAAAATCCTTACCCTCATCATACCTTATCCTTGACAAGTGATCTGCAACAACATTCTATGCTCCCTTTTTATCTTTAATTTCCACATCAAAATCTTGTAGCAAGAGAACCCAACGGAGGAGCCTAGGCTTTATTTCCGCCTTGGCTATGAGGTATTTCAAAGCTGCATGATCAGTAAAAACAATAATTTTATAACCAACAAGATATGATCTAAATTTTTCTAAAGCATAAATCACAGCAAGAAACTCCTTCTCTGTAGTGGCATAGTTAACTTGGGTTTCATCCAAAGTTTTACTTGCATAGTAAATAGCATGCAAAAATTTTTCCTTTCTTTATCCTAGCACGACTCCTACTGCAAAATCACTGGCATTACACATAATCTTGAAAGGAAGGTTCCAATCAGGAGCACATATGAAAGGTGCCGATATCAAAGCCTGCTTAATCTTGTTGAAAGCCTCAAGACAATATTAGTAAAATCAAATGAGGCATCCTTGAGTAAAAGCTGAGCTAGTGGTTTAGCAATTTTAGAAAAATCTTCAATAAAGCGACGATAAAACCCTGTATGACCTAAGAAACTCCTAAACCCCTTAACATTAACTGGTGGAGGTAATTGCTCAATCACAGAAACTTTAGCTTTATCTACTTGTATACCCTTATTAGATACAATATGACCTAAGACCACACCTTCAGTCACCATAAAGTGACATTTTTCCCAATTTAAGACCAAATTGCATTCTTCACATCTTTTCAAAATTTTAGTGAGGCTAAACATGTATCAAATGAAGACCCATACAGACTAAAATAATCCATAAAGACTTCCATGATAGACTCTATGAAATCAGAAAAAATGCTCATCTTATAACGTTGAAAAGTAGCAGGAGCATTACATAAACTAAAGGGCATCCTACGGTATGCAAAAGTACCATAAGGGAATGTAAATGTTGTTTTCTGTTGATCTTCAGGATGAATTGGAATTTGGAAAAATCTCGAGTACCCATCCAAATAATAGAAAAATTTATGATTAGCTAACCTTTCCAACATTTGATCAATAAAAGGGAGAGGGAAGTGATCTTTCTTGGTGACAATATTTAATCTATGATAATCTATGAACATACGCCACCCTGTTACAGTTCTCTGGGAATCAATTCATTTTTATTATTTTTTATCACAGTCATACCACCCTTTTTAGGAATTACTTGTACGGGACTCATACACTTTGAGTCAGAAATAGGATAGATAATACCTGCATCAAGTAATTTCATAACCTCTTTCTTGACTACTTCTTGCATGTTAGGATTCAACCTCCTCTGGGGTTAAATACATGGCTTGTGATTGTCCTCTAAGTGTATCTTGTGCATACAAAAGTCAAGGCTAATACCCTTGAGATCCAATATTGTACCCAATTGCCCTTTTGTGGATTCGAAGAACCTCTAAGAGTTGGGAAATTTGGGAATCATTGAGTGCAGTACTGATGATCACGGGGTGTAATTCCTGTTTATCTAAAAATGCATATTTTAAATGAGAAGGGAGGGGTTTTAAGCTCAGGTTTCTTAACCTCTGCAGGTTTCGATTCTTGAACTAATTTTACTACCTTCTTGCTCTCCTTAGGGTCAAGTTGTTCAATTGCGAGAGGTTTCTCGATAGCATCCACCTCACTGCTCCAAATACCAGCATCACCTACAACGGCGCCAAATTTTGACAGGATAAAGTCGTATCTCCTTAGGGTCAAGCTGTTCAAGTGCGAGAGCTTTCTCGATTGCATCCACCTCACTGTTCCAAATACCAACATCACCTACAGTAAAATAACCACGAAGCACTTCCTCCAAGGGATCTCTTGCAAGGACCTGTGATAAGCTATCTTCACAAATAACATCAATCACATCAATGTTACAACAATTTTCCTCTAACATAGGACCTTTCAAAACTCTCCCTAAATTAAAAGTGATATTATCATCTCCAACAGAAAGAGTCAGTTTTCAATTTTTAACATCAATAATGGCCCCATGCAGTGTGGAGGAAAGGTCTACCTAAAATTATAGGAATTTGTGTATCCTCAACCATGTTTAAAACAACAAAATCAACAGGGATAAAAAATTTACCAACTCTAACAGGTACATCCTCTAAAATACCTAAGGAGTATTTAACAGAACGGTCTGCCATTTGCAAAGTAATGTTAGTAACTTTTAAATCACCCATATTAAGCCTTGAACACACAGACGATGGCATTACACTTACACTAGCGCCCAAATTACATAATGCTTTATCAATGAAAACATTTCCAACATGACAAGGTATGAAAAACTACCAAGATCCTTTAATTTTGGTGGAGATTTATTTTGCAATAAAGTACTACATTCCTCTGTAAAAGCTACAGTCTCTACCTCATTAAAGGCTCTCTTCCTAGTCAATGTATCCTTCATAAATTTAGCATATGCAAGAACTTGTGTAATTAATTCTGTAAAAGGAATTGTTACATACAAATTTTTCACAACCTCCAAAAACTTACCAAACTGCTTATCCAACTTACTCTTCAAATGTCTATTAGGGAATGGTATTTTGATAACTGGTTTATGTACATCTCCGATCTTATCTTGAGTTGTAACCTTCTCTGGAGTTGTACCCTGCAATGTATCATCAGAAATATTAGTGTTACCCTGGGGCCCTGAAGGGGTAGTAACAACATCATTTGGTATAAGAGAATCAGGATTAACAATTTTTGTTATAACAGGTTCATCATCTTTGGGCATAAAGGGCCCATAATAATGTGAACCACTTCTCAAAGTAATTGCATTAGCATGATCTGTAGGTTGTACTGGCTGCGATGGTAGGGCTCCCTGCTGGCGAGTTTGCAGAGTAGAGGAAAGTTGCGCAATTTGATTATTTATGATTTTATTATGTGTTAGGATTGAATCAATTTGGGCATCTCTACTCTGCATCTGTTTCTGCATATTGGCTAACATCGTTTTAATTTCTGACAGGGCAGGATTAGTAAATGGAGGTGGTGTTTGTGGTTGGGGTCTCTGGTTAGGAGGTTGGTAATATTTTTGTTGTGGTTGCTGTGGGGTTGTTGTTGTGGTTGTTGTGGAGGTGAAGGGTTTAGCACATTAGTATTCTGGTAGGAAAGATTTGATGGTTTCGGAGACCAGGATTATAAGTGTTGGAGTATAGGTTATTTTGCCTATAGGCTTGGAAGGAATTAACTTGCTCCATGGAACTCCTCCTTTTATCGTTCCCCTTAACTTCATTGTTTTTGGGTTGGAGATACCCACCACCGAGCATAGGGAGATGTCCACCGGTACCGCAGTTTCATCCTCCTCATATCCTCCTTCTCCACCAACAAACTCGTCATCCATCACATCACCTTCATGACCGACAATGAGTACGCTTAACTCTTTACGTTTACATCGATGTCCTACTCCCCACCGTTCATCACAGCGAAAACAAAGTCCCATCAACCGCTTTTCTTACAGCTCCGCCTCAGTGAGTCTTCGAGTTGGCGGTCCACTTATACAGCCAATCAAATTGCTGCTAGAGCTACCAACCATGTTCACTGATGGTTGGGAGTCCGTCACTCTTGGCCAAGCGCTAGATGGGCTAGGCGGTTTAGGCAGACCATACGTCTGGACCAGACCCAATCCCTTCCCCTTGTTGTTACTGTAGCTGGGAGTTTGAGTGAATGGTTGGGTCGTCCCAATCCTAACACCCCCTAGGTCTCCTCTCCTTCCACCGTAAGCCTTGTTTTTCTCTTTTATCAAACCTACTAACTCCATAGCCCGTTCCAACATATTCGGGTACAAAGTCCTCAGCTCCATTTTCACTCCTCCCTTTAAACCATTCACGAACTGAGCAAACAGCAGATCTTCCAAAATTCCTTCTAAAGGGGCCGCAAATTCGATGAATCTCTGGCGATACTCCTCCACCGAACTCTCCTGCACCACCGACAACAACCACTGTGCGTACAGTGTTCCCGTGCGAAGGCTTGAACTCGTGGAGAATCCAGCTTTTAAGATCTGGCCATTGAGTAATCGGTCGCCGACGTTGCTCCCACTAGTACCACTTTAGAGCTGGATCGTCCATAGCCACCACTGCGACCTCTTTCTTCTCTCTCTCCGATGACTGGTAAAAGTCGAAGAACATTTTGGCCCTACGAATCCAGTTATCGGGATCCTTCCCTTCAAAAACAGGCATATCAAGCTTACGGTGCTTCCAGTGATTTCCTCCACCACCCTCACCGTCACGTCAATCTCCGCGACGCCATCCTCCGTTTCCCCCATCTCCACCGTCGCGCCAGCCACCAGGGTCTGGTGATCTCTTCCCCGGCATGCCGAAATTTCGCTTCCCCACTGGAGTCTGCTCTTTATTCCCTCCTTGCACCTGACTATTCCCCTCCTCTAGGTGGACTACCGGCGGTGGAAGGTGCGGTCGATCTGGAGGCTGGTTGCCCTTCATGGCCTTAAGCTGGTTGTTTAACTTCTCTAGCTTCTCTCTATCGATGGCGGCTTGGGTATCCATATCCACCCGGAAGCGACCAAGGTGATCCTCCAATTTGTTGGAGGTGGCTGCTAATGCTTCGTCAATTTTCTTCCGCTCCTCCTCCATGGCGGCCCCCACAGCGGCTGCCACCACTCGAGTGAGCGAGTCTTCTTGACTACTCAGCTTACTCTTAGCTGAGTTTCAAACCTGCTCATTCTTTCCTCTGCTTCATCAACTCTTTGGGTTAACATCATTTTTTTTTTAATGATGTACGGACGGTTGTTTCCGGCGTTGGCAGCCCGCAGGACCATTGCTCTGGTACCAAGTTTGTAATAGACTAAGCTGATTTACTCAATAATAATAAGAGAAGGACTGATTTTTGATTAATTCAATGGAAGGGGTACAAGAGCAGCTTGAGGCTACCAATCTCCTTAGCAACTTGAGGTTGCAACTGTCCAAGTTTTCCTAACCTTGTTAAATGAACAAACAAATATTAGGCAGAGAACAAACAAAAGAGCTAAAAAGCAGTAAAGTAAGAATTATAGAGAAGAAATTAACGCTAACCTTGTTAAATGAAGAGAGAGATTCGAGATTGCATCAAACCTCATTATTTATTTGATCAAAAACTATAGAAATTGCATCAAAATCCAATTAACTCTTCTCTTGGATTGAAGAGTTAAGTTTGAGAAAATGAAAACGACCCATGAATGACTAAATTAATCTTTTTTTTTTAAAGCCCAGAAGTCCAACCAACTAAATACCCAAAATAATCAAAAATTCAGCTTTCATCAACCCAAATAAACCTAGTAAAACTGAATTAGAACCAGAAGGAATAATTTGGAAATAATAAAAACCCAAGGAAATCCAAATAAACCAGACACAATATTGTTCCAGTCATCAAATAACACAGGTTTTAATTTTTGGGAGAATCTCAAACGCTTGGAAAACCCGAAATTTAGAAAATAGAAAATAAAGAAGTTACCTAAGTGTTGTGATCAGGGCGATTGGAGATGGAGAAAGAAGGGGAATCGCTAGAAAGCATAGTAAAATTGAAAATCTCCATTGACGGACTTCCTCCGAAACCCAATAAAAGTTTAGTAGCCTGTAATTGTATGTTAATAGAAGCAAATTAGTACAACAATTTACAAAGCTGATTGAATTTAACATAATGTAAAATCAAATTACTCTATTTTACAAAAAATTTGATTGGGTAAAAAAAAAAAACAAAAATGAAACCAGTGAAGTGAACAATTCGAAAATTATTGAAAAATAAATTGAAGAGTAAAAGTTGGCAAGATTAATGCTTATTTGAGGGAGAAATTACCTCTTGAGATGCATTGAGTCTCTCCATTTTTTACTGCAATCACCCTCATCGTATTAAAGGTTTTGCAAATGTCCTGAATAATTAAAAATCATCACAAAATGAAAAGGAAAAATACAGGATAGAGGATGAAGTAATTGATGAAAAATTAAAGAAATCGAAAATTTTTTTTAAAAAAAAGAAAACTATAGGAATTACAACAGTACTATTCTTATTGATTCACACAGTACTTTGGGGTGGGGGGTAGTGATCTACAGAATTTGCTCTAAGTGGCAACACTTGTAGTCAAACATTGTTTCAAGACTTTCAACCAAAGTTCTATATATACCATTTTTTTGGCTAATATTTGAAAGATATAAATTTAATTTAAATTTTTTTATTTTTGTAGAAAAGCTCTCATTTCCATGTCCATTTCAATTCATTTTTAATCACCAATATCCCAATACTTTTCAATTCATATTTAATCACCAATATTGCTTAAACCTCTCATAGAATCATGTGCTCATGATGAGTAGAACTTTATTTAGGAAACAAGTGACAATTATAAATACTCAATAATTTTATATATGTTGAAATTTTCTTGATTACTTAAGAAAATTTTTTAAATGTGAAAAAGCGAATGACCATAATTTTTTGGTCATTCAAGAGTTGTATTCAAATATTAATAAAGTCTTTTTAAAATTAAATGGCAAAAACAAATCTAAAATAGATAAAAACGAAAAGCGTAAAAACTCAGTTAAAATATAATTTAAAACTACGTCTGTAAAAAGCTCTCGAGTCTGGACATTAGAACCCTTTCAATGGTATACGACAAATAATCTAATCCAAGAATACCTAAAAAAGTATCTGGATTAGATACAAAGAAAGGGAGGGAAAAGAAGAAAAGGGTAACGATTTCCTAAAAAAATTGCTTAATTGTAAATTAATTTTCTATTTGTGACGATTTAAAAACTTATTCCCACAATATTGTCCCAAAAGATGCGATTTCAAGGCATCAATTCAAAAGTTACGAGTGATTAATCGAAATAGAATTGGAGTAGAATCATTAGATTGATAAAATATTATTTTCTAATATTATTAGAAGATATATTTAGGATAAGTTATTTAGTATTTATATATTATATATTTATTATTTTATCTTTTAGTTATTATCCTAAGGCATGGGGATAATTGAATTTTGAGTTATAATTTTATCAATTCTTATGAATTTTTTCTGCAAAAAAATTGCATATCTTATTTTGCCGAGAAGGCTACCAAATTTAGTTGTTATTAATAATAACTCCATGTCCTAGTTACAATTTGATCTTTCTGAAATTTAATTGTTCCATATCCTTTTGATTTAGTTCCTCTATTCCAAAATAGTGCAAAGTCTAAACTACAACAATCTAATCAGTGTAATCCATTTGAAATTCGCATCAAATTGGTGCATTGTATTGATATAAATATCAAATGAGCAAAAAACAAACCACCCTTAATACACCTACTTCAAGTATTGTATTGATGATTTTCCCTTCTCCTTAAGTGATTTTCTTACCCCTTATTTATTATGAACTAATTATAGATAATACAAACCTTCAACAATTAAACTATAAAAATTAGTTCAAGTTTGGCTAAATCTATACTGAATTATCTAAATGTTTACTTCATGAAAAGATATTAAAAATAATAAGTTACTAGAAACTATTCAAATAAATAAACTTGGACACCATAAGCGTCAACTGAGTTTCAGTATTTTAGGAGTCTATAATGCAAATCATTTTGCTTGATAGCGCCTTCTAACCCTACCTTCAACTTTAAATTAAACCATCTTACTTTTTTCTATGTACAGGATTCTACACATTAAGACCCATATGCAGTTTAAATTTAAACTTTGCAAATGAGAGGTGAAATGCACTGATTAGTGTGTGGCTAACTACTAAGGTCAATTTCAACTAGCTCTGGACTCCCCCTTTCGATTTGATTCTCTCCGAGCTTTGCACCCAATTGTCCTTTATCACCAGCACCAAATGAATAGAGTTTTCCAGATTCAGTGAGCGCAAATGTGTGGGCATTCCAAAAAATAGAATTGGTCAAACTCATTTGCACTATTCGTTCTTTAACTTGCTTCAAAGATGTCACTAGCTCTGGCTTAAGTACATTAGCATGTCGATTCCCCTGTATGGAATAAAATGTATCAAACAAGATAAATGCATAAACATTGAAATGAGAGGGAAAAAACAGTGATAACATTGGCAAACAATTTTCCAACCATATTCGATCTCATAGGCTCACAAGGGAAAGAAAAAAAAAAACACTTAAATGAAATGTAAAGACAATAGCAAGATTGACTAACAATTTTCCAAGTTTCCAGCAATATTAAAGTTCATGGGCTCACAATGATAAAATATATTGTGAGCTCAAGGCTAATAAAAATATGTGCACAATTGGTGAATTCTATATGTACAAATTTACGAAGTACTTCCTCCGTTCTGGCAATATTGCAACAACTGGACTTTTGCACATGCTTGTTTGACCACAAATTATGATTTATACGTAAAGTAAAATATAGCCACGTGGGGTCTTGTTAGATTCGTCTCATAAAATACTTTCACAATATCAACTTTTTATAATTTTTACTCTTATATAATTATAGATATTTAACATATAAAATGTGCTTTGGAATGCTTAATTTCATCCTTGTTGCAATATTTGTGAAACAGAGGAAGTAAAATGTAGTACTCCCTTTTAAAATATTGAAATAATTAACACAAGTTTTGTTTAACTTTTAAACTTGATGGGAATCTACCAAATCTTGAACCATCCTAACAAAGGTCAAGTAAATCCATCCACTAAAGTTTATGTACATAGAAATTTTAAATTAGAAGCAAATGAACACCTTATTCAGAAGGTTTGATATAGTTTGGTTCTAACTTCTACGCACATATAGAATAAATGATTTTTTGTGAAAAACTAACTAATAAAGCCCAAATTTTGTGAGAAACTACCTAATAAAATAAAATTTTGTAAGAAACTACCTAATAAAAGGTAAAATGTTGTAAGAAATTACCTAATAAAAGGCAAAATGTTGTAAAATACTACCTCTGTCACAAATTCACCATTGACCCACCTCAAAACACACCCAAAACCACCGCTTTCACCCCAAAAGCAACACAACCTACTTGAAATTGCCTCTACCATGCCAAAACCACCCTCCAACTAACCCCAAAACCACCACCTCTAACCCCAAAAACCAACAACCCAAATCACAAAACTACCCTCACCAACTTGGAATATCCTCTACCCACCCCGAAAATAACCTTACCACCTTAAAAACCAATCCCCGTGGTGGTTTCGTGGGTGTTTTGAGGTGGGTCAACACCATAAAATTAGGTTAACGGTAGAAATTCTGCCAAAGGTAGTGTCTTACAACATTTTATCATTTATTAGGTAGTTTGTTACAACATTTTTTTTATTGGGTAGTTTCTCACAAAATTTAGGTTTTATTAGGTAGTTTCTAACAAAAAAAACCTACAATAAAACATGATATTGTAAAGTTAACACTTAACAGATACAATTTACCAAACACTACCAAAAAGTAACAAAAAAAAATGAAGTTTAAGGAATTCAAACCTCTCCATCTGTCCCATTATAATGTCCAAGGCTTGAAGATTCTCCACAACCGAATGAATATACATCGCCACTATCGGATACTACAAAAGTGGTGTAATCGCCTGTGGCAACATGAATTGCCTTGACATCAGTCAAGCCTTCCACCACTTTAGGGGCAGATTCACAATCTTCATTTCCATGACCTAGACATCCATAACGTCCCCAACCCCATGTGCAAACCCTTCCATCCTTACCGACAACAGCTGCATGCCAAGCACCGGCAGCCACAACCATGGGTTGAATATTCAATGTCTGGAATTGCTCAATCAATCGAGGATATTTTTCATCTGTTCTTGAACCATGGCCGAGCTTTCCTCCCAAACCACACCCCACAGAATACACAGACCTGACAAATAAAAACGCCAGATAACAATTCATGTCGTTATTTGAATATCAACACAACTACCCCATAGCTGATTAGCATTCTCTTAGTTCTACTAGGATTTTAACGGTTCAAAACCGCATATTCCAAGTACACTTATTGCGATCAAGATTACGTAAGAAAGGTAACTAATGAGCCAAGGTTAACGAACACCAATTAATATAAAACATCAGCTAAAAGAGGTGAAGAAAGTGCTTACATGCCACCAGGCAGACAAGCAAGAGCAAGAAGATAGCAATATCCAGCTGCAATCTGCACAACCGGTATATTCTCAAGTGCACCTAATAAAGGGCGCGGTTGCACATCATTAGGATCTGTTTGGTGACCGAGCTTCCCATCACTGCCCCATGAAAAAGTATAAACCCTTCCTTCTCTTGACAATACAGCAGTGAAGAAATTTCCAATAGCAGCTTGAACTACAAAGATGTCCTTCAAGGACTCAACAAGTTGTGGGGTATTTACTATTCTAGAACCTTGAGCACCATATTCAGCTTCCCCAAACGAGTCTTTTCCAAATGCATAAACTTTTCCAGTATCACTGATCAACATTGTCCTCCCAGCCCCAGCAGTAGCTTGGATAATCCGGATGCCCTGCAGGGACCTGCACAACCACGAATTCTGTTAATTTTCCTTCCGCACAGAATTTCCCATTCAACCATAATCATGTATATTAGAAATTTTCAACCTTATCAAGCGAGGCCGATACTCATCAGCAGAGTTCCCTTCAGGTGTAAGTCCGTGACCAAGCTGTCCTGAACTATTAGAGCCAAAGGAGTAAACAGTTCCAGTTGAAGTCACAGCAATGCTGTGTCCCGGCCCAGCTATTGCTTGCGACTTCTCTCTCCTACAGCAAGCTTCACCAGCTAACAAATACCTAAGTACTAGTTTCCATGATCCCCCACATCTTTGCTTCAAATCTTCCTTTTGTTCAGGGGTCATTGGTCTAAATATGGCTCTCTTTTGGCACATATCATGAGCAGCAAGCTCAGCAATTGATAAATCATAGTCAGGGGCAAAGTTTGCCGGGTGCCTAAAGAATGAACAAGTTACCTGATAAACAAAAAAAAACCCCAATTCAAATCAGCAGCATCATCAATTCACATTTCACTAGTAGGATACATATTGGAAGAGTAAGGGCAATAGGAAGACTTGCCTCTAATTTCGCGAGGTCTTGGGGGTCTAAATTACACGCTGTAAGGACATGAAGAACGATGGAAGGGTTAGCTGCCAAGGGAAATTCCCCAGGGACCAAGTCCCCAAAGCAATGTCTTACTTGACGAAGAAATGCCGGTCTAGGCGAGGTAACAAGCGATCCGACAATGGGTTGTTCAGGGATATTACAGTATTGAATTGTTTCAGTCCCACTTGTCGTGGCATCCATGTTGGGCACTGCTGAA